TAAGTGGGATTGTGGATGAAACAAGAACGGCCATCATTTGACAATTATTGAAGCCAGTTGACGGCTACATGGGAGTTCATTGTAATATTCTATTTTTTATTATGTTTGAAATTTTACACAGTAAAAAAAATTTTTAAAGGAAGTGTATTTCTTAATTATGCCAATTTATATTGATTAACTTTTCCCTTGGTCTCCATTCCCGCAACAGCCACATCCTATGAGCATGGCTGAAATGTCTTCCATATCGATCTTGAGGAGGGTCTGATAAAGTGGCTGAACAACGCAGAGGTCCCATTCTGGTCCCATGATTTATGACAAAATAAATTGATTAACTTTGCCACGACCCATAATTTGATCATTCAGCCAAAGACAGGGATGCCTACATCCAGATTAACCAAACAGAAATGGTTTAGATAAATTTCAGCTGTCATAATAACCAATAAAGACAGTGCTACATGGCCAATCCAATTCGGTCATTGTGGTGGCCAGGCCATCACTATTACATTAGGGGATCTACTGAAGCGTCAGTGAGACAGTCTGCACTTTTTTTTTTAATTTGTCCCAAGCGCAATGAGATAGAGAAAAATTTAACAATTATAGCCTTCGACTCCTAGAAAAGAGAATTTGCTCAGCCTGCATAGTGAGAAGATTAGGATTAAAATACAAATGGTTAACACAATGTCTATTTTAGAATGGCCACATGGGGTTTTTTTCTATCATCTTCATTTAATTTCCCCTTTCCCTTTCTCTTACCCAGCCATAAGCAGAATTTTGGCACATTTAATTAAATTAATTCCTAACAATTCCTCATAAGCAGACCTCACATAAAAGCAGAGTGTGTTAAATATTGCAGTCAAATCTTGAAAGAATTACAAACAATAGATCTTCTAAATACACTACTAAGGATGTAGCTGCCTGTCGATTTTAATTTCATTAACTCACTCATGATACAAATAAATTCTGTTTAAAAGAAAAGCTTTAATAATGAATATATTGCAATTAAAATGACCCAAGGCTACTAGGCATTGCATACTGCCACCTAGTGCTAAATGTCTCTTTAACTCCAAATGCACAATGGACATCTTCAGGAAAGTGGAAATGCTCTATTTTAAAGCAAATTTATCCAGAAAGACAGATCTGAAACAGTTATTTACAATTGCTTCAAGATAAAAAGGCTACTAGGAATAAATGAAATTACATATACCTTAAAATCAGCCCTGTCTCATAAATTCAAGTAGGAAAGATCTGATTAGATTAGTAAATGTAAAAAGTTACAGGTTTTGTTAATAAAGACATGATTTTTTTTTAAAGGGACGGAAGGAGGAAGAATGTCTCCTTTAACAGCAGTGTTACCTCCATCTCTTTGAAATCATTAAGTTAGATAATTCCCAAAGGAATCTCTCATCAAAGCCACATGATCTAGAAAACTCAAGATTTCCTTTAATCAGCTTAACCAAACGACTTCTGCCAAGCCTATTTCACTTGGTTCTGTACAGGGCTCCACCACACAATTAGGACACCTACTTGGAATGGCTGCCCAATGTAGAAGACAGAACTTACTCAAAATATTGCAATTTAAGAAACTCAGCTTGGAAAACATGATTGAAGAACACATATCATATTAAAATCCAACTCTTTACACTACGTTGGGATTACATCTATCATGATAGTTCAATATTCAGTAAAATTACAAAGTCAATTGAAAAAAAAGTCTAAAGTTCCAACTCCTAGATATTCCATTGGCCTTATGGAACACCACCTATAACAAGATACTTCTAGGAAATGAGACAGTAGATATGGCTGAGTTGTATATGAGAAAAATCCCGCTGCAGTTACAAATATACATGCAATACAGTTATAATAATAAAACTTCATAAGCATTTTTAAAATGCTCCTATTAATCTACAAAGTAGTGAAAATATATAAAGTGAATGAACTAACAAGTCTTGATTCAAATGACAATTGTGCCTGAGACTGAAGATTTCTTAGAATTTTCTCACATATCTTAATGTGTTTTCTAGGTACATACTGCATTGACAGTTTTGGAAAATAAAGGCTATGTGCATCTTGCACACAAAAATGCAATCAGGGCAACATCATTTGGATTTATCTAAAAATAAATGTTTAAACTGAAATTATTTCATTAATAATCTCATTTCTTAAGCCTGAATATGAAAGTATGTACGTATTGATGAGCGTGTCCTATGGAGCTCTATAATCAAGAATGTCTAACTCAACATAAAAAAAAATAGTAACAATATGGCCTATGAAGTAGATTTCCTAGGGCTTAGAAAGATAGAGAGGACATGTTGAAACACTAAGGTACTGAACACAGAAGAGCTTTCAACTGAACATAAACACCTAACTTGAGATTATTTAAAACAGCACCTTCCTAGCTATTAAAATCCTCATGGTTGTGAAAGACAAGAATTTATTCCATATAGATTACAAAAACTACGCTATTTGGGTATGTAACATTAGTACTTGCTGGGGATTGCTCACTGTGAAATAAGAAAATGTAATAAATATTCAGGAAGCATTTTACTCGCTAATTATGATTCCACAATTTCTTTAACTTTGTATTCTCAGATGTCAGGTACTTACTTGGAAACTGACATCCATTTGGTTGCTAAGAGACATGAGATCAGTTTGCAGTTTTTTCTCTGTCTTTAAGAGAACTGCCCTGTTGGGTTCTGCCTCAAAGTACTGAAAGTGAACTCTCTTACCCATGTGGGGATTTATATTACCTGTACTAGAAGATACTCCCAGGTCTCAGAAAAGAAATGAATTACTTTCAATTTGCACAATTTAGAACAAATATACAGCTTTTCCCTAAGCTTAATGATTTTCCACTTCACACAACTAAAATATAATAGCATTATTTTAAAACCAAATTTAACTGATGAGTCTATGAGTATTTTGACCAAAGTCTTATGAAAAAATGAAGTCATTCAGTCAATTTGCATCCCCAAAGTGAAGCTCAAACGCAGCATTTTAAAAGGATTTCCTGCCTGTAACTTTGACCATGTACTTTTTTAAACAGCTGGAGGAACAAGACTGAACTTGGTCTATCTGATTTTTCTTATACTTTTTCAAAGGATCAAAAGCAAAACACAATTATAAATATGTACATCCTAACTGGTCATTAGTTTATCACCAATAAATACTGATTTGTCTAATCAAAGAGATTAGTCCTAAAGTAAGAGTGGTATTTCAATGAGCACATATATTTCCTAATGACACTGAGCAAGTAGACTCTCTTCATATGCACATTTCATAACCTTTCAAGGACAATCTTCTAAATTACATTTTAAAGAAATACGCTGAAAAAGCATTCCACTGCAGTAGCATTTTACATTGCTACGAATCCAAGAGGTTCAATGTTTAACGCCATGTACTTATGAGAAAGCCATTGATCATTTACTCTGATTTCATATCAATGCTTTACTGGAGTATATCTCAAAGGAACACAAGATAATGCATTTGTCTACTAAGTGAGACAATGCCCACTTGCCCAGTCCTCTTTTTACTCAACTTGCACACCATCAGCCAGCTGCCCTGTTGGTGACTCCTTGCACCTTATATGCTGCTTTAGCACTAAATCATTTACCATTTTTGGTCCAGAATCCATTAAGAAAATTCCCGTTACAAGCAAGATATGTAGTTGTACACCTATAAAAGAGCTATCTAGTGCCCATCTTGAGGGAAAGAAGATGAATTTACTCCCTGTCTTCTGGGGTTTTACTTATTTTATAGAGCCACACCTTTATAAACAAGTTCTGTCACACTGAGAGGAAGGAGATATACAAAAGGTAACACCTGGAGTCATAAAATGTAATGACCTCAAATAACACATCTCAGAAAGAGGGAGGAAACCTGGTTCCGGAGTAGAAAAAACAGAAGCAAAGCGAGTGAATCTACATCATTAAAACACGAGTAACAGAAAACCCTCCCAGGTTTTTCCAGTAAGTTTTGTGCAGCAGTAGCAGCAGCAACAATCTCATCAATATGCACATCCTCACCCTCATAAAACCTCTTGGCCCCAAACAGAAACTGCTGGTCCTTCTCCACCGTGTCCTCAGGGGCAGAAACCACCACCCAAAAGGGAAGCGATTTCAGAGGCGTAGGGAAGGGCAAAAGCAGGTTATGTGTAGCTCCAGCATCCTCATCTTAGTCCCAGCTGCAAGCCTGAAAGTCCGTTCAGGAACCAGCCCCTGGCTCCCAGACATCCCCTGGCCTGGGCCCTCCCCTAGAGGTGCCAGAGGCGTCAGACTCCAAACAATGATCTCCTCGCCCCCTCAGCACCCCCACTTCCCCGTGCTCTCACTCCAAGACCGTGGCTTTCTAACCTTTAGCGAGACCTCTTTGGGGTAGGACAAGACATGCTTGGTGGCCAAGAGGAGAAGTATAGGCTTCTTTGCCGGAATGAGTTGCTGCGGGTGGTCACGGAGAGGGGCACTTTTGGAAAAACCAGGACATGGGGCAACTCAGACCTCAGTTATCTGTCGCCCTCACTCCCACCCTCCACCCCTACCTCTCGCCTTGGAGATGACTTCTCCTGAGGCTGGCGGCGGCGGCAACTCGGCGGCCGGGATGGGGGTGAGAGCGAGCCCCCAGGCCACCGCAGCCTTGCCAAAGGAACCGCGCAGGTGGGCGCAGCCTCGGAAGGTCAGAGTTACCCGGGGCCCGGAGAGTGTGAGGGGGTGAGGGTGAGCACGCGCGTTTGCCGGGGCTAGAGGAGCTCGGCAAGAGGGTCAGCGAGGTGACAGGGGTCCCCAGCAACCAAGGAACGACAGCACTCCTTAGGCGACAGGGCTGGAGGGGCCATTGAGGCTGCAAGACTGGGAAACTTGATGCAAAACACCCAGGCTTCCCCCGCCAGGACGTGCCCCCGCGCTCTCAGACCCGCTCCAATGCCTCCCGAATCACCCACCGTCCCGCATCCCATCCTGCAAAAATGCCCCCCGCCCCAAGCCCTTGGATCCGAGGCGGGTCATTACCTCTCCCGGAGGCGGAGTGGGGGGCGGCAGCGGCAGCAGCAGACACTTTTAGCCTGACTTTCCTGCTTTCGCGTGTGAGCGTGTGCGCGCCGAGCAGGAGCTGTAACCTGCTATTTATAGACCGGAGCCTCAGCGCGCGGGGCTGGGCACCCGGAGGACGCGAGCAGGCGGCGGCGGCGGCGCAGGGCGCGGGCCGCTCCCGAGGCTCCCGCGGCTCCCGACTCCCGGCTCCCCGCCCGCCGCACGCGCCCGGGAGAAGTTGTCACCAGCGCGGCTGCCTCTCCGGCTGCTCACACGCCCCCTGGCACAATTGCTACTTTCTCCCCACCCCTCCCCCACCCTCTCCGCTCCTCTTCCTCCTCCTCTACTCGTGCCAAGTGGTCTCCTCCCAATGTCACCGGCGGCCGAGGAGAGACAGCGGCGGCGGCGACGGTCGCGCAACTGGCGCAGCTCGCTTCCCGCTACTAAAGGAGTGGAGTTGGTGTCCCCGCCGCCCAGCCCGAAATGACCGAAACACGCTTGCTCGGTGTGCTGACCTTACACCCCCTGACCCTCTGCTGGGCCCCTCTGCGAGCAGAGACGGTCGCCCAGCCTGGGCTGTGGGAGCACCGCTGCAAAGCAGTGGTGAGGGGCGACCCAGGGCCGCCAAGCTGCGCCGGGGGCTGGAGAAACCGCGGGGATCTCTAACCCGCGGGAGGAGGCGCCCCAGCCCTGGGCCACTGGCAGCGCCCGCCCAGATCGAGGCGGGTGGGAGCGGGAGGCAGTGCTCCCAGTTCTTCCCCCGGACTTGCGCCTGCCCCCACCCTGGGGCCCGTCTTTCTCGCCACTGCTCGGCCTTGGCCGGAGTGGAGGTCTGGCGGGGGAGACCTGGGCACCGGCGCGGCTTCCAGCTCAGCGCAGCCCACGGCCACCCACCGTCAGCCCTCCAGTCGCGGCTGGGGAGTGAGGCCGAGCTGCTCCCAACAAGAGCGACACCCTTTGGCAGCCCGGGTGAATGGGGACGCATCTGCACTCTGAGTGTCTGGGGTGTCAGGAAAACAGGGTACGTAATCACGCAGTCTGGACCGAGGCTCAAACTCCCCCACTTCCTCGCCAACAAGCCCACGGGGAAGACACGCAGCTTGGTTATTCCGGGCTGTGGGGTGTGGGGCAAATGACTCTCCCCATCTGCGCCGTACAGGTGCCACCTGGCGGTTCGCTTGGAGAGGTTTTTGACTGAGCTGCTCAAAGGTAATGGTAATAGCGGTAATGCCAAGCGCCGGTCTACACGGACACCCTCACCCTTTCCTCTCCCTGAGGGTACTTTAAATTCACATTTAAAATAACATAGAGGGAGAATGCTGGTACACACAGGTCACACTAGCCATGTAAAGAGACTGGATCCCAAAGTTAGACTGGTGAAGTGGATTTGGGTTAAGTCAGTACTTACAGTTACTGCAAAGTGGGAAGCTGTAGCTGCCCCAGCTGTCACCCCTGCTGTCACTTCCTGCATCTAGGCATCCATTCACTCCACAAACATTTCACTGCCACTAGGTTATAAGCTTTATGGATGAGAGCAGAGACTTTGTTGTTTTGTTTTGTTTTGTTTTTTCCATTACTATTCCTCAGGGCTTGGAACAATGCCTAACACACTGTAGTTTCAATAAATGGTTTAGAATGAATTAATAAACACTAGGGGCCAGAAACTATGCTTGGCCCATTCTCTCCCTTAGTCCCAGCAGCGCTTCCCTTTCCTTCTTTTCAAGCTCTTTGTGCTAGGCTCAGCCACCATCACAGGTGAGCTAGATGGAGAGAAGGAGGGTGAGGGAGAAACAGTTCATGCAGGCCCTGTGGGGATATGGATCAGGGTTGAGGAGCCGATTCCACTGTCAGATTTCTCCTCCATGAGGCAGTGCTGAACACTCCCAGTTTGGAAAAAAAAACACCTATGTCAGACTTGGGGCTTGAAGCAATGGATAAATCCTGTTTGTAGAGATCTGCTGGCGAGATGATTCAACTTTCTCGTTGGGCAAGAGTTTCAGCCTTTTGTTAACGTGCAGAAAGATGGAAAGGATATCAGAAGATCAGAGTGCCAGAGCTTTGCTGCTAAATTGAGATGTTTAACATATCTGTCCTCTTAACTTTAAATGGAGCTGTGTGTGTGTGTGTGTGTGTGTGTGTTTACGAAGACTGCCACGGTGCCGGAATACTAAACCATCCTTCTAAAGTAGATGTGGCTACGGTTGTTATGGAATTGAACACTTAAAGTACCCCTTATAATTAAAATCCAGGCATAGATCATGCTGACCAAGACCTTTTACAGGGCTACTGAGGAAAATGTGACATACCTGTGCATGTCATGTAGGAAGTTTAAATTCCGGAGAGAGTGAAGTGGGGGGAGAGAGAGAGAGAGAATAAATCAGATGCATGTACCACATGGCCTTTTAAAAATCCATCAATCAGCCTGGTATTTGCCTTTTTTAGTTATTTGGCAGTGTGTTTTCCTCGAATAAGCCTAGAGGATTGGATGATTCTATGGTATATTAAACTCATTCAGCATCCGCTTTTACAAATCTTGAACTTTTAGCCGCCTGTGCCCCCAAAACATAACTCCATTTGCCAATGAAGCACAAAATATTTTTCATTTCCTTTTGAAATATCTTTGCAGGGCCAGAGGTCAAAGGTGATTCCCAGCAGTTACTTTGCTGTCTAAAGCAATAAAATCAAGCCAGGATCTGCAGGGCTGGCGTCTCACTCTCTTTTGAGTGAAGGAGCTCGTACTTTCTCATTGAATAGATTCATTGTTCTTGGATATTTTTATTTCAGGTGAGACTGGAATGGCACAAGGACTCGACACTTTTGTGATCCTTCATTATTAAAAATCTCTTCTGATATAGGTGTGGGTTTTTTGGCCACAGTTGTTCATTTATATTAATGAGAGTTTTGTAGATCAAGTCATTGTTTTCATCCCAAGTTTTAAAAACTTAACATTAGAAGAGTTAAGCTTTGATATCCATACATTAAGATCATCTCTTGCATGTGCACATGTGTGTGTATGCCTGTATTTAAATTAATGAGGAATGTTATTAGAAGTAGAAATTTGACCCAACAAGTTAAAGGGGGAAACTATTGTAAAGTTGCCTGGCTGTTGTGGAACCCAAGAACAGGAATGCAGCTGGGCATCAGTGACAACTTGGAAACAGGACAACTTTCTCTCTCCCTTTTCCCCCACTGCACTACCTTCTCCATTCTTTCTCTCTCTCCTTCCTCCCCTTCTGTCCCTCCCATACCGACTTTCTCTGATGTGCACTAAGTTGTATGGTTACCAACAGCTCTTGAACTTCATAATCAATGGGCCAGTTCCAAGTCCTCAAGGAAATACCATGATTGGCCCAGTTGCCACACTCCAGTCCAGACAACCATTGCCAGAGGTTGGAGATCAAGTTACATTCTCATAGCAGTTACTATGGTAACCATGTGGCTAGTAGTGGTGCACAGAGGTAGGAGGGAAAGATAAAATTCGCAGAAGGTGGGGAGGAGTATGGGTCATTCCTGACCACTATTATCTCCTAATCCTTGTTGTTCCATGAATACTGGTACCAAAGGTAGAAGGAGGCGGGGAGGAGAAACATAAGGAGCACTGATGTCTGTGTGTGTGAATGCATATGCATGTTTAAAAATTCAGTGAGGTGGAATGCCTCTTGCTGACGGTGGTGCTCTAAGATGGCTCGTCCCAGTAGAAGTAGCCACATGATTTTATGATCTCTTGATGTGAGACTGGTTGAGCATGAGGAAGGAATCAAGTATTTCACAGACAGTTTACTTCAGCTTCCTTTTGCATGGCAAATTAAATAAGAGACATTTTTTAAATGAAGGAAATGAGTGTGATACCATTTACATTTATTGAAGATAAACATTCTGCTCTCTTATTTATATAATAGTTACATTACTAAAATGTATATAAATCATATATTTGAAAGTGAATCATATTTCAAACATAATACGGTGGTGAATCTTAATATTTTTGTGCTTATAAACCCTTCTGAGAATTTGAAGAGAGCTATGCACTTTCCCCAGAAAAAAATATGACCAGATGCACAAACATTTATGGTGAAATGATATCTGACACATTTATTTGAGATATGGAACTTCAAAGGACATATTTCTTTGGTCTTCCTCCAATCACCCCCATTTGAAACAACGACTCCAGATTCTTGAACAAAAGGTTCAAAATGCCCAGTATGTCTAAGCCAAAAAATTGCTTGGGGGCAGGGAATGCTGGAGCATATGTGAACCCAGAGAACTAGTTCCCCTCCCACCCACTCCTGCCCTGAGTGAGATATAAATGAGCTGTAGGCAGGAAAAGAAGACAGAGCCTTAGAAGGATAGGAAAAAGTTGCAACGTGGGGAAGGATGTTGTATTAGTTTGCTAGGACTGTCAGAGCAAAATACCACAGACTAGGTGGCATAAACAATGGAAATTTATTGCCTACAGTTCTGGAGATTAGAAGTCCAAGACTAAGATTCTGGAAGGGTTGGTTTCTCCTGAGGCCTCTCTCCTTAGCTTGAAGATGACCATCTTTCTCTGTGTCCTCACAAGGCCTTTCTCTGTGTGTGAGCACCTCTGCTCTCTCTTTGTGTGTCTAAATTTCCTCTTCTTAAAATCACACCAGTCAGATTGGGTTAGAGTTACCCTAACTGCCTTATTTTAACCTCATAACCTCTTTAAAGACTCTATCTCCAAATACAGTCCCATTCTGAGGTACTGGGGTTAGGGTTTCAACATATGAACTTACGGGGACACAATTTAGCCCATAACAAATATGCACAATTTAGCCCCAATCAAACTCCAGAAAGAACCCAGGGGTGAAGGTGGGATTTGGATTTCCCTTTTATGTTAAGAGGGCCCAAGAGTAAAGAAATTTGTATCCAATTTTCCCATTGAAGTCTTTTGAAAATCTCAGTCTTAATAAAAGAACCCAGAACACAAGGTTGTAAAGTAGAAATATAAATGGTTGTATGCCTTATCTAGATCCTGAAGGACTGAGGATTACGGTACGCCCAGCCCCTTGGGCTTTCCCATGGTGCCTAAGTGGTGAGAAAGGGGCTCCTGTAAGTCATAGCAGGCCTGGAAGTTAGTA